GGACTCGGAGGCGGTGAAGCTGCTCTCGGACGCGCCCGGCGCTATAAGTAACTTTAATGGGTTTTCCTCTTAAATGGTTCTTCTTTTAGCTGATTGATTCCTGGGGATGTTACAGTCAGGCTGCACCCTCGTGTTAGGATGTAAGCCGGTGGGATGCAGGAATAGCATGTTTTCCTGTTTACACACTCCGGGAGGCTAAACAGTGCTCACTAAGTAGCCTTAACAAATTGCCGTGTAGAATCTTTCCCATGTATTTCCTGGACAGGCTGTATCTGTGCTGTGATATCTTTGATAGATTTCATGTAGCTGAGGCCTTCTCAGTAACGTTGCTGGAAAAAAGAAAATAAAATGCAGCAATTTCTAGAGGGATTTATTAGAGTCTCGTGTGGCCTCAGCTCCCGAAGCATTTTCTGAGGAAGCAGCTTTATTTCGGGCTCCTTGTGATTAATTCTGTGTTCCTTTAGGACAGCAGGATTCATGTATGAGGAACTTAATGATGTGCTTGGTCCTGAACATTGTGAAGGTTTTCGTGGCTCTGACTAAGGGTGCTGAGTTTGTAACAGAAGTTGGACCGTACGTCAGAACAAGTCTTTGATCTCAGGTTTAATGTGTTTTGTTTTATGGGAAAGGTGCATTCTGCGCAACCTGGACAGCTTGTGTAGCACTGATGTGGGAGAGTCATCAAGTTGCAGCAGTCTGAATGTGACATAGAGCAGAAAGTAAGATCCTAAATCAGGAAGGAAAGGAGAAATTTCTGAAATGCAGCATCTTGTTGGTATTTCATGTGTTTGTCTTATGCACCTGTTGAAGAGTAACAAGAACGATAACCTGATGTGGTTTGAAAAACGAAAGATGGGTCCAGCATTTGATGAAAGGGGAGGAAAATTGTTAGGCAGCTGCTATGGAGTGCTGTATTGCCATAGGGGTGTCATATAAACAGCATTTCTTTGGATGCCCCGAGCTCTGTACACTTGACAATACCGATTCCAGCTTAATATGGTAGCTCTTGTTTTCCCAAAGCCCTGGGCTTACAAATCTTTAAATCTACCAGACTGCATAAGATGAAAGATATGGTGGTGGCCACTTGAGCTGAGCCATAGTGGGACATAAAAGAGAAGTCAGTGCCTTTTTAGTTTCAAGTGCCAAAGGAACCTTTTGGTCTTCGCCATGTGTTTGTCAGAGAAGGCAGTCCAGGTATCCCAAAGGCAAAAATGCAACCTAAAATTTAACTCCCCGTATCATCTCAGCATCAGGCAGTGTACCATGTGATGTATATTAATCACGTTATTAACACCCTTTAGAATTTTAATGCACAAGTTCAGAGTGATATTGGAGATTCTGTATTTAAATAAAAACACTGAAATGCGATGTCACAGTGTTGCTCTTTTTTCAGTCTGCCAGAATCTCTGTAGTGTGAAGAGTTGTTCTGAATTGGGTGAATATTGCTAATTTCTTAATTTTCTGGAGCTTGGTGGGATTTTGTGTCTGTTTTGATTTTTCTTACTCGACTGATCTCTGCGAGCTTGAGTATTGGGTGATGTTGTGTCGTGTGTGTCATTCCTTCCCCCTACCTCTGCCCTGGATATCTAGAGTCTGGTGGAGACCAGACCATACTTTGCTAGGGAGCGAGGTGATTATGTTGAAATCTGTCTTGTACGTCTCTTTCAGAAGTTTGTGACTTCATTGGCATTTTATTCTTGTTTGGTGCATGGTTAGTTTAACATTGGTCCTGTCTTACCTCTGCAAATTCTTCACCATAAATGAACATGCTAGAAGTACAAATGCTTTCTTCTGAGCATGTTGCATACTTACATAAAGGCATTGCCAAAGAAAATTGGAACACTCAGTGGATGTTTTTAAACAAACCAGTTGTTAGAGCATCCCACAAATCTGAACAGCTTGCTTTTCTTACAGCTCCTTCTTCTCACCCTTTACTTTCTCCTGCTGCTGTTACTGCAGAGATGAATTGATTGAAGGGGGAGCCCTGTGAACATCTCCAGTTCCATTTCTCCCCACCCCCAGTCTCTCTCTGCCTCCTTTTCTACCCCTCTACCTCCGCAAATCACCTGAAAACTCTATTCTTAATGAGAGAAAAGCTAGAAAGCAAACTTTCTGGTCGTCCTTAGGAAAGTACTTTTGCTGTTGGTGGTGGATCAGATGGTGGATGCATCTCATGTACGCAGCGTGATGGTCTGATTCTGTATGCAACTATTCCTCTGACATTAAACTGTATCTGCCAGTATACCAGGTGTCAAGGGCAGTCCTTGTTGGCCTTGTACAATCTCCTATGTTTGCTGTTACAGGCTACAGGAGTAAGTAATGTCTGTTCACTGTCTTTCAGCAGAAGTCTGCTTTTTTTAGATTTTGGTTAGACTACAAGGTTCAAGGTCAGCATTTGATTCCAGGAGGAAATCTCTGCATTTATTACGAAGTGTACATGATTACTTTTTTTGTCTTTTCTAAATATCCTGTTATTCCCTTGCTAAATAAGAAACTCCCTAATTAAAGTGTTCCATTTCTGAGCTTCAGTGCATGCATCCAAGAAAAGGCAGCAAGCGAGTCAAACCTAATGGACTTACCGTTGCAAAATTCTGTGCCTTTTCAGATTTAAAGGGCCCTGAAGTCTAACTTTCTGCCATCCCCAAAGATGCATTTCTTTATTCTGCGTTACTGTAACAATTGCGAGACACTCATTTGAGGGTAAAGAGAACAGCCTGTTACATTTAATAGTATGTGGTAGCTGGCAAAAAGAGGGAAACAGGTCTTTGCAAAATATTAAAACACAAAACAAAGGAACACAGTGCTATATTTTTAGAGGCTCAGAGATTTTCTGCCTTAGTTGTGTATCTATCCCCATAGTGTGTGTCTGCAGCAACTGTTCTGTTTATAAGGAAGCTTTTATGAATGAAACTTCAATATCCAGAAGATAAATCTGACTTAAAAAAAAAAAAAAATTATTTAGTTGTATTACATGTATCCTCTGCAATGTCTTATGTTTTTATCAATAATAATAATAATAACTAAAGTAATGCCTACTTGCTAGATAACTTATAAATACAGTGCCACTCAAAAGTTAATAGTAGGTTTCTAGTAACTCTCCAGGAATTGGCAGTGATGAATTTGACAACAGATATCCACCACAAATGTTCTTTACAGAGGTATCGAACCTCAGAAAACTCTAGTACACTGGGATTTTTGTTGGGTTGGTTTGAGCTGTTTATTTGCCTCCAAGCAGAATGCGATGTACTTATTCTGCTTTAAGAAAGCTGTTTGAGCAGGATATTTGAGAATGTTCTCACAAGATGGGATCAAGTACTGATTTAGAATTTCTCTTCTGACACCAAGGGAGGAAGGAGTGAAGAAGCGTGCAGGGACACTGATCCTCAATCAGATTTTTTCCCTCTACCAGAAGAGAATTAGTATGTGTATGTGGTACACAGACTCAAAAGTAATAATTTGTTAGACTTGAAGTTGCAGTATCTGAATGGTGGATTGAATGACTGCTGTGACATACTGTATCCAGAATATATTCCAGAAATCTTCCTGCAAAGCAGGGAGCCAGAGACAAATCAAACATTATTTTCAAATTGGTCTGCCCAACATATAACCTTGATTAGGTGAAAGAGTCCTGAAAATTTAGTTGAAGGGTTTACATATATTTGATGGATTCTGGAGTTTGGGGGGTTGGAACTAGATGATCTTAAGGTCCTTTCCGACCCTAACCATTCTGTGATTCTAAGTTTCATTTAAGGTCATCACTGTAGTTTCACATTCTCCGTCCTGTCAAATTTTATGTGGTTTTTTTGGTTCACCTGTCGTCATAGAGATCTTCACTGGATCCCCGGCATTCATGCCCATTCTAAAATTCCACTAGTTAGTGAGAGTCTTTTCTCTAGATTCTCATTTCAACTTTTTTTGTTCATGCCTTACATTCCCTTTTGCTACTAAGAAGCATTTAGTTTTCCATTAAGTTAAACAGAAGGATCATCCTAGTGTTGGTAAATTACAGTTGTCCAACTCAAGTAAGATGGTAAGCTTTCTCTTGGGCTTTTTCCTAAATTTGGCTGGTCTTCTACCTAAATCATGCTTGTCTAGATTCAGTTACCTGTAAAATTTAAATTCAAAAACCTGTAGTTGCTATAAGTAAATGACTGTTGGTGGTGTGGTGAGTTTTTTGTGTTAAAAGTGCCTGAATTTATTATGGCTTCTTCAAATCTTTCAGTTGAGTGAAAATGACTGCAATCAAGCATGCTTTACAGAGGGATATTTTCACTCCCAATGATGAACGCTTGTTGAGCATTGTGAATGTGTGCAAAGCAGGCAAAAAGAAGAGAAACTGCTTTTTGTGTGCCACAGGTACATAGTAATACCACACTGTATTTCTTGTCTTCACTTTTTTTTTTTTAAAATTCAGTGCATTTGTCTTAGCTTTATTTACAGTATTTATTATTGCCCTATATAAAACAGGTGCTTTCTGTTGCTAATGGAGAAAATCAGTTGTAGTTTATACTTCCAGCATTGCTTCTACTAAAAAAGAAACAAAACCCTGTACTGTTATTCCCAGATCTCATTGTAACTTTAAATGAAAGAATCAAAATTGTTTTGTGTGGGGCTGGTGGGCTTTTGAAGCAGCCTTTATATAGTGCTTAAAAGGGGATTTAGTAGGCATCTAGGCTGATGAGCCTAAACAAAATGCAATAAAGAGTGCTGGTTAGAGTCCAAGGCAGAGGGCTCTGGAAAGGCACAGTAACTGAACTGAGCTCTAATGTTCTTTTGAATGTATGTGTATTCTGTTACATCTCTTCAAAAGATTAGGTACTTTGGGTCAATCTGTTAATAAATTAGCTTGTTAGAATGTTTTTGGCTGAGAAATTCCGAAAACATTTTTATGCTGACTATAATCTCCAGTTACCTCTGTGCTTTGTCAGTTACGTGGCCATGGCCTGAGGTCTGCTGTATCAAAGACACATCTGAAAATGTTCATGTGTTCATTAGTTCACAAGCTCTATAGAGATTTATATCTGGTTGGCTGAGACTTAAGCTGGGCTGTGGATATTGGGGATGAAAATGTTTCCAAGAGTCTATTTTCATCAAATAAATATGAGAACTTCCCCACAGATAGTTGATTTCAGAAGTTGAAGCACAGCAGAAATAGATGTTGAAGTAACTTTTGAAATTACTCTTCTACTTCATTTAACAGTGACGACGGAGCGACCAGTGCAAGTGAATGTGGTAAAAGTGAAAAAATCTGACAAGGGAGATTTCTACAAAAGGCAGACTGCATGGGCGCTTCGAGATCTTGCTGTTGTTGATGCCAAAGATGCTGTTAAAGTATGTGTGTAACCTTTTTTGGTTTAATGCTTTGCTCAGAACGTCCTTTTGGCTCCAAGTTAGAGTGAACTTCCTTGATTCTGACTGCTTTAAAGCTTAGATTGATAACATGTTAATTAGGAATTAGGGTGATACATTCCTCTGCTGCATATGCCTTTCCAAGAATGTAACCCTGGTAAGCTGAGTAAGAGTAGTCTAGATATGCTTGAATAGCAGTATTCTGAATGCCTGCCCTGTTTATTGTAATGATCCCTCAGTCACTGTAGAGTGCTTGTGCTAAGGACCAGTACTTTTTCAAGTCTTATGTAAATGTTTATTCAAAGCTTAGTTTCCTCTTAAATAAAAATATAAATATATGACTGTCTTACTAATGACATTCAGCTACATGTGACATTTTTTGCTAGGACACTTGAAGCATACTAAATGAGTAGCATATAAGTTTGAAGGTGAGCTCTTGGAATCTGTTTTCTAAATCTTGACATTGGCCATTTGTTGGAAAGCATACAGTCTTGAGGTGGTGTTCTTTTCCATAGAACAAGAAAAGCAACCTATTGATGACCATTTAAACTCGTCTGTTGTTATAACCCAAGATGTACAAGCAGGCAGAGGTGAAAATTCTTCATCCCGTTATGCCTGGGTTTATGTTCTGTTAACTGGCAATTTGGAAGAATAGTGCAGAAAACTGAAGTTGGAAATTCTTTGATTTCCCCCTCCCCAAGTGTAGGTTTAATATGCTGTGTTATTTATCCATATTCTTGTTGGCTAGATTCTAGATTTTCTTTGCTGTTCCTATATACCATGTTGGAGAATTGCTTCTTTCAAGTTAAGGTTCCATTTAAAATTATACTGTCTTTCAGGGCTTTTTCTTGCAAAACAGAATTCAGTAATTGTTTTCAGAAATACGCTGTAATGTTTATACCATTCTAGTGAGCAAGTTTGAAATTTTCTTTCAAAAAATCAAATGTTGAATGACAAACTCTCATACTAAAAAATGACAGAATTAAAGTTGACAAGTGCATCATGTTTTGGTTTCCAAAGGTGATCCTATGCAACTCTCAACACAGGCCTTTCTTGCACTAGTTGTGAGACAACTCAAATGTTATGTAATGATATTGTTTGTTTAGAAATGTATGGTTATTATATTAATCAATATAAGCTACAGGGGAGAAAATCAAACCCAGAACTGCTTTTGTTGTGCTGTACAGGAAATACCATTTCCCATCATATGTAGCTTCATGTGCAGCCTACTTCTACAGATAGTAGTGACAATGTAAGAAATAAGTAGCAGCTGTAGTAATTTTTACAAACTCTGTAAGCATTTAATATGTATCTGAGACAATAATGTTTTTCATAAGAAGGAGGCTTGATCTTGTAATTTGCTTGTAGTGTGATCTTCAAACCAGGCTGTCACCAGTTACAGTCCATACTAAGTTCATAAGTGGCTGTAGAAAGTACTTTATTCAATTGTTATCAAAGTAATGTTCTCATCAGGCAATAAATCTAGTAGAAAATATTTCTACAGTAGATTTTTACTGTTAAAATACCAAATGGTCTTTTGTATCCTGTTCAGTGCTATTAAATAGTATCTTATCTATAAAAATATATCAAATGCTCATATGTTTGGGTTTTTTTCTCTTGTTTGTTCCTCTCAAGTCTCCTTGAACTGTGTTGTGTATGTTGTCAGTAATTCCAGCTACCATTTTCAGTTTCAGAAGGCTAACTGAAGGCATTAGTCATTCTGCAGACAGTGTTTCAGGGCAGACAGTGCTGTCAAATGTTTGTTGAAACTCTTCACAGATGGCTGTATTATGTATTATTGTTGCCTTATCTGGCTTGACAAAGCATTGTCTTCATAGCATGGATTCTGGTTTTTTTTCAATGTTCTAGCACCTTCATTAAGGTGCATCAGGGTGCTAGAGTTGGTGCATCAGGTTGGCATCTGTGTAATTTCATTTTTATCCTGACCTCTCAATAATTAAATATGTAAACAACCTCTGCTACTCAGAGAATCATTTGACTGTTGAGCCTGTAACATATCCCATCTTTTGCAGGAGAGTCCTGAATTTGACTTGCATTTTGACAAAGTGTACAAATGGGTTGCAAGCAGCACAGTGGAAAAGAACACCTTCATTTCATGTATTTGGAAACTCAACCAGAGATACCTTAGAAAGAAAATTGACTTTACTAATGTTAGTTCACAGCTTTTGGAAGGTAAATGTCTACAACGGTACATGAAGTTTAATAATTATTGATGTAAAACAGATATACTAAAAAAAATCCTAATCCTGATACTTTTCCTATTCAGTTTTAGTTTTTTATATATTTTCTAAGCCTTCAAATAAACAAGGTGACTAGATAATAGATTTTTCTGTTAGAGGACTGAGACAAAATACTTCATTAATGAAGTTCTAAATATTGATAAGCTTACTGTATTTCTAGGACATTGTTTGTTGAACAATATAAAATCTTCCTGCAAGAACTGGTAGGTCTAAATGTGTAACAAATCTGCTTTTGTTCCCGTTTTCTCCTGAATTAGAAAAGCACTTTAAAAAGTGACACTTCACTACCATGGTAAAGCTATGAGGGTTTATATGAGATTTCTAGTTTATAAACTCTGAGGCCTGTGTTAAATTCTGCTGGACCCTATTGCAATTTGTGTGACAGACTGGTTGCTGAGACAATATCATTTGCTCAGGCTGTATTAAATATTTCTGCAGTTACATTATCTTTTAGTAGTTAAAACTTTTTAGTAAAGCCCAGTGGGTAAGCATATCTTATGTTGGGTCTGTCAGAAGTGGTTAAACTGCCGATATTAATTACTAGACTGGCTAGTGTGGAAGAGCTTGAATTAGAACTGTAGAAGAGTGAGCATTCCTGTATCTTGGTGTTAACTGTGATTTGTTTGTAACCAACCTCTAACTTTTCAAGTTTATGCAATATTAAAGTACTCAAACTTACTGCCACTTAAAAATATACCCACTGTTCATGCTTTGTCTAGCTAACATTCTCTGCTTCCTTTCCTCTGCTTTTCCATACCTTTTAATTCTTCAGAACTGCCTAAAGTTGCAGAAGGTGCGTAACACCTTTTTCCTTTATTTTACTTTGTAAGCAATTTTTTCTTAAATAAAATGTCTTTTTTTTTTAATTTATTTTTTTTTCCCCTTATAGTGCTTTGTGTAGTTTAGCACATAGTTAGAGGTAAAAGAAACGTTTCAAATTTCCTAAATATATTCTGGCTGGACTGCAATAATGTTCTATAAGTGTTTGTCAGCCTTTAAATGGCTTGTTGAATAAAGTAAGCACTGCTCTGAGAAATCATAGTTCATGACAACATTGTTACTAATTTTCACTTACCTGAGTACTGATTTTCCTCCTGTGAGACTTACCTTGAGCATTAAGATATTATCATTATTCAATGATACACATCTTCATTAACTTTAGTATGTTTCCCTATGTTCTATCTATAGAACAGATAGATGTAGATAAAACATTTCCCTATGTTCTATCTACAAAAGAGAATCCAACTTCTACTGATCTTCTGCTAACAAGCTAATACTGTTGTGTATTCTGATGCTGATTACCAGCATGAGAGGTGAATAACCTGAGATGGAATGTCTCTTTGTACATGCAATAATGGAAAGTAGCTATCTGCATTTAGCTTATGTTGCATAATTTAGAAAACATCACTATCAGGAACCAGTTCTGGAAATCCTAATGAAGCCTGTGGAAGACTGAGACTCGAAAAAAGCATACAAAGGCGTCAGCTGCTTGTTAGGAAAGTTGTTTAATGGATTCATTTACTTAAACATAGTTGTACATACTTAAGTACTCTTAAAATGCTTGCGACTTTCTGCCCTTGATAGCATGTTTTATTTCCCTTCTCTATATAAGAATCTGTTCCAAGTGGAGAGAATCAAAGTGTAGCAGGAGGTGATGAAGAAGCTGTGGATGAATACCAGGAGTTAAATGCAAGAGAGGAACAGGATATTGAAATAATGATGGAAGGATGTGAATATGCTATTTCTAATGCTGAAGCCTTTGCAGAGAAGTTGTCAAGAGAGCTACAAGTTCTAGATGGGGTAAACATTTTTTTCTAACCTTCCATATGATAGCATGTTGAATTGTTTCATTGATACTACGTAGCTTTCTTTGAAAAAGTAGTTAACATGTTCTCTGACATATTTAAATGTATATCTGCTCCTAAGCAGAGCTACGTCCTGCCTATTACCAGATGTTAAAGATCTTCAGCTTTGCTTGTTACCTTCCAAACCTTCTGGGGTGAGTCACAGGCTTTCAAATGAAGAGTTGAGAAGAAAAAAGGGAGGCATTTTGCATATACCTTTCTCGAAAGGAGG